TGCAGAAACCTAAAGCCGGAGGAGCCGCTGGGTCGCAGCCGAGAGGTGCTGAGCTGTAGGTGGATGAGCACTGGAGACGGACACGCGGAAGAACAGTCTTGGGACAGACAGGTCTACCGGGACGTGGGTGTCTCCGGGGTCTGTCCCTGCAGAGCAGCCAAAGGGCAGCGCCGCAGGCACCACGTTTGTGCTGCGGGTGGAGGGGGAAGAGAGCAGCGAAGGGAAAGCCTCGTTCATTAGAGGGATGAGAGCAGCTTCATTCCTTAGAGGAAATCTCAAAGAATAGCTTCGCTGGGCCCGCAGTGTTGGGAAGAGATGGAGGTTCCATCTGTGCAGATGGAAGGGGGAACGAGGAAGAGTGGTGTCACCATCCAGGGAGGGTTGGACAGGAAGGGTGACATCAGGATGGTACTGTTGATGAAGGGTGACACTCAGTATGAGAATAATGAAAGGAATGGAGGGAGGATGGAGCAATGGATATTGCAGCACCCACAGTGGAGATAAAAGGCTGGTACGCTTTTGGTGTTGAAATGGGTCACTCTCCAACCCACAGCATGAAGAACACCCGCGCCAGGGTCCACACTTCTGGCAGCGATTGGTCCCAAGGAGCCCACCAGGGACAGGGCTGTCAGCGAGAGCTCAGCAGCAGGCAGGGGTGAGAAGTTTGGGAGAAGAGAGTAGAGGCAGGCACAGAGCGAGCAGGCATGATGCTTAGAGGGTCCGTCGTATCAGGAGACCACCCATCCCTTGGGAGACACAGGCTCAGCGATCCCTGTGTCTGCAGAGAAGCAAAACACTTGTGGCAATGCCCCAAAGCCAGGACTAATGACAGGAACGTGCTCCAAGCCGGAGGCTTTGGGATTTGGAGGCTGAGGAGGAGACGGAGCTGGGCATGCTGCTGTGGCGAAGGATGGCTGCGAGGTGTCGGTGGGACAAGATAAGACAGCGTGAGTCACCGCTGCGTCACGCCAGGTATTTCCACTAAGCCGGAAGCGCTTGCGCCAGGGCTCGGAGCACCGCCGGGCGTGTGCGCACGGCATTTCTGCACGGGAAGGATGAGGGAGAGGGGCCACGCAGCGGACTGATCACATCGAACCTCTGACCACACTTCTGCCGAGGGCCCGAAGTCCGTCAGAACAAATGCGTGATGGCTCGAGCTCAGCAAATACCACAGGCTCAGACATTTTCACTCTGACATAATTATATCCCTTCTGGTATGCTTTCATGCCCAGGAATCCAGTAACAGGATTACAACACCCTTGAGAGCGACCAGACCTTCCTCTCGTGTCGCACAGCAGTGTTGTCTCGGCTGCCACCACCCCTGAGCACAGCTGACAGCACCAGCACACGACTCGCCGGGACACGAGACATCCCAAAATCCCTCTGCCAAAGCGCGGTTGGTCCCCAGGGCTCCTGCTGAGCAGGACCTGGCTGCCCGGCCAGGGCGACAGCGGTGGGTGTGCATTTGCATCCTGCTAATGGCTGGATTGCCAACCTTTGCCAAACCTCCCCTATCACCCACCCGACCGACGACCCCAACATTGCGATGACCAAGAATAACCCCTTTTACTCTACTTCATCCTCCAGGGACCACTAGTCCCCACCCAGCTGGCAACCTCCATCATGGCGTAATGCTCCCCGGGCACGGCCAGCACCTCTTCACCACACCGCAAGATGCAGATGCACCCCTCATTGCCACATGGACATGACCACAGCCCTCACTGTGGCCTCAGGGCTTCAAGGTACCAGCTGTACCAAGGCTGTGAGTACGCCCAGGGCAGGAGAGAGCATGTGCCCACAAGACCACACAAGCTCCTCCTTCGCATCCAAGCCCCAGCCATCTCCACACCAGAAGCACATCCCCAGGCTGTACTCACTTCATGTTCTCCACAGAGCGTCCCCGAAGAGCCGCAAAGGGGGACAGGAGGGTGGCCATGGCCACGATCCAGCAGTTGAAGAAGGCCATCTTGCAGAAGTACTGGAAGGTGGCATTGTACCGGTAAAGCAGCAGGGCTGCCAAGGGGAGGAGGAGCAGCAGCCCATGGAGCAGGACCACCTCCATCGTGCTGCCCCTGTGGGAGGATGCTGGGGAGCTCAGCCCGCGTCCCCGGGCGCAGGGTGAGTGGAGCAAGGGATGCCGAGGAGCGTGGCAGGTGAATCAGATTTATCAGCAGAGCAGCGCGTGGGCGTTTGGGGCCGGTCCAGGGGAAGGTGCTGTGTGTGTATCACCCTCTACGGAGGTCTGGGGGTGGACTGGCTCAGACGGGAGCAGGCTACCCCACCAAGGGTGGGGAGTGGTGGTGAGTCAATGCCAGGGACCCTAGGTCACCCAAGGTGTCACTGCTGCTAGGTTCCCTCCTGGGCTGTTAAAAGCCATTGCAGTGCCTCCAACTTGATGTGATCAGACCTGGTGCCCACAGGAGTGTCCCTGCTCTGGGCTCCTCTCCTGGCCACAGGGACTCCAGCCCTGGGAAAGGGGGATCTCAGCTGGTAGGGACAGCGGGAGCTGGTTCTGGTCCCTGCCCATCACCCTGGCGAGGCTTGTTGCAGATCCATGTTGGCATCATGGCTAGTCCCCAGACCTCACCCTGCAGAATATCAGATGATTGGAAGATACAGACCATACAGACCCTGCCTGGGTCTGTAGCAGGCACATGGTGCCAGTGCTCCCCATCTCTCTGCTCCCCTCCAGTTTGGGCTGCAGGAGCCCCTCTGCCCTTCCCCTCCCAAGGCCAAGCATCTGCCACAAAGGTCCAAGCGACGCCACGGGGGTCTGAGCCCTGCCACCGCCCGCTCCCACCCTGGGCTGAAGGAGATGGCAGCCCTCGCCCCAGTTGGCAGCCAGGGGCTGCATTGCGCTAAGTGTTTACATAGGTGCAATTAGCATGCACAGGGCTGTAATTAGCCTCTCCTCCTGCTCTGTTGCTTTCATACTGGGCATGCAGGATCCAGGCCAACTCTGGGTTGCCCTGCGGAAACTCTGGTCTTGCTTTTGAAAAGCAAGTGCTTGTCATTGCAGAGATAACTCTGGCCTGGTCTCAGCCACCAGCAGTATCTCCCAGCCCGTGTCCCATGATGTCCATGATGTCCATGAACCATCTCCCATGACGCCCATGTCCCAAGCCCTGCCGAGGACACCCACATGCTGCTGCCCAGACCCATAAGTTCGTCTCTGACCCTTGGGGCAGGAGCCTGTGAGCAGAGAGCTCCACTCATGCCTTCCCATAACAACCCCACCAGGGCTGTAGGGCAAACAGTCCCATCATACCACGCTGGCAAGAGGCATCACATCACCTGGGTCAAACCCAGCAGCCCTGCACCTCATCCGACACAACCTACCTTCAGCAAAACCACGCTGCATCCCCCCTGCTCCGTTCCCCTCCGTGCCCATGGCTGCTCTGGCCACCCACACCTTCTCCCTGTCCCTGCAGATGTGGGTGCAAGCAGACACCTTTGGGCTCCTGGCTGTGTGATGCTCTCCATGCTGCCAGCTGAAGAGTGCCCTGGTTCAACCAGTGTGACCCAGAGAGAGCTCCAGGGGTTACTTCCACCATGGGTGTTGCAATCCCCATTGCTTCATCCTCTCATTCCTCTCATTATTCTCATATTCAAGTTAAGATTGGGCCATATCTTGAGCCCACCCTTCCTATCCACCCCATCCCCAGGTGACTCCTCTCCTCTTTCTTCCCTTTCTGTCTATATGGATGTGGAAACCTTTGTGCACCACCTCGTTTCCCATCAAACTCAGCTTTGCTTTTGGATGGTCTCCCTCCCTTCTGCTCTTGCTGCTCTGCCCAGCCAGTCTCACAGCCTGCCGGGGAGCTCCCAGCTGTAGGAGACATGTCTTCATGCTGCAACCCAACATGACTCTCTTGCTCCACATTTGGGATTTTTTGCAGGAGCCAGGCAGAGTTTTGCTGCAGGGGAAGATCTGCCTGGGCCAGAGCACAGCTCAGTCCTGGGCTCAGGGAGGATAAACCCTCCTTTCACCCCAGAAGAGAGAGTCCTCACGCTCAGTGGGGGCAGGAGGAGGGAATTTAAGGTGCAACTGCCTGGGCACCATCTTTCTGCATGCTCAGAGCTCCAGATGACCACCAGCCCTGAAGTCTCCTGCTAGGACCTCAGGTCTTAAGGCAAAGCCTCCTGACGACTGGCCTGTGACCCATGAGAGAGATAGCAGAGGCAGGGGACAGCTTCCAGCATCCAAAATGCATCAGCCCCCACTTCCCCCTTCTTCTTGGTGAGCAGAGGGGAGACTGAATCCTGGGAAACTCCATGACGACCCCTCCTCAGCCTGCTGCCCCAACCGCACCCCCACCAGGAGCAAGCTGCAGGCCAGATCCAGCTCTTCCAGTGCTGCGCTCGGCCAGGACCATCCTGCTCTGCTTCCCAGCACCAACATCAGCAGCTCCCCGTATTGCCCCAGCACCCACATCAGGCACTGATATACCCCACCCCTGGGTGCAGGAGGCTCACACCCCCCCTCACCCCCACAGCTTGGAGGGAGCCCGGCATTCAGGCACCAAGCCAGCAGTCTGGGTAATTACAGATGCTTAATTAGTGACAGCAGGCTGCTTTCTTAACAAAGCAAATTAATTACAGACAATATGCTGCATTGAGATCTGAAGGGACTAATGAAGAGCAGAACCACCTGGGCTGGCATCACCCACCCGTCCCCACCACAGGGACACAGCACAGTACAGAGTCCTCACGGCTTGGCACGGACATGCTGTCCAGCTGGGACTGGGATGTCACCACTAATCTGCTGGGGATGAGCCCTCTGCAGAGCACGGAGATAAAGCCTGTCCCTGTTTGGGGTCACGCTGCCATGTGGGGCTTGGTGACAGGCTTCGTGACACCCCCCTGCCCTGGGGTGGCTTGCCAGCAGGAAGCCAACCCAAAACTATGGATACCATGGAACACCCCTGCTTAGCTCTCCAGGATCTTCTGGGGTCGAGGGCTTGGACATGCAGGAGAAGCCACCTTGGGAAGCATGGGGCTCACAGCCTCTTCACCATGTCGTAGTACTCTGCGGAGAGAAGAGGGGAGCTGGAGGGTCTGCAAGGGCCACCCCTGGGATCCGATGGACAGAGCGACAAGGGGGGGCTCAGCCCTCGACGGAGGCTGCCCAGTTGATGGATGCGTGAGGCCCCCTCGTTGAGGGACATAGGGAGAATGTGTCCTTACCCGATGCTGGTGGGACGTCGGCTCCCACGGTCCCCGTGGTGCTGGGGGGTGGAGGGGGGGGCACCGCGCTGCTGGAGAGGAGCAAGGACAGGAGTAAGCGCTGGCCTGCTGTTGCCCCTTGTGTCCCAGCTTGGGCTGGAAGTCGTGTTACACCAGGGACACGCATGCAGCCCCACGCCGGGTGGCAGAAAGCAGCACCCTCGTTACTCACACTGCCCTGTCCTCGGCTAATGAGCCTGTGCCCAGGTACCGCACGGCCGCCGGCCCCTCATCCCATGCTGGGACTGGCCACGCCAGGATGGGAGCAGGTCCAGGGTAGGGGATGTAGTGATGGTGGAAAATCACAGCCTCCTCTTCCTCTCTGGTCTGCAAAGGCACCGCCATTGCCTGCAGGGAGGAACAAAAGGCAAGGCTGTGCCGGGCCCCTTTCGGCAGCTGTGTCCCTGGGGTACCACTCCCCAAAGCACCAGTGAGAGGGTTCCCACAGAGCCACGCTTGGCTGCGATGCCGCTGGCACGGCACGGCACGGCACGGCACAGCTCTCCCAGGGTCCAGCTGGGTGGGCCCGATCCCACACAAAGCCCCGCGCTCAGCCAGCGTGGGAAACCGGCTGCTGGGGACGCGGGGGGGGGGCTTTTTTTTTCAGAATGATGCTGGGAAGAGCCCGCTTGATCCGGCCACTGAGATGCGACAGGCAGGGTCCGGTCTTGGCCAGCATGGTGAACTGGTGGGTGCTGGGCGGGCAGCGTGGGAGGGTGCATGCCCAGAGGTGCCAGCTGGCAGCGAGCAAGGCAGCTGCCCGCAGCCCCGGTCTCGGCC